CTGCAAAGTTTTAATGTGGAATCCAACAGCTCTCGGTGAGCACAGTCTGACCCCAAATCCCGAAAAAAAAAAAAAAAAAAATCTCGGCCACTTTTGGTCTCAACAGGTTTTCCAGTTGAACCCCCTGAAAAACCGAACCGCCCCGGTACAACACTGCCCAGTTGCCAGCCCAGCTCTGGACCAAACTCGTATCTATGTTCCGAACCCGACAACAATGACGGTGGTGCTGCTGTGCCATCTTCCCCTGAATAGAACGTACAGTAACTACTGCTGTATCTAGGCTAAAAGTTGCCCCAAATACAGCTATAATGACTGTACGTCGAACTTAAAAGGAAGACGGTACTAGCAATAGAAGACAGAAGACAACAACAACAAAGAAGACGGCGGAAGAAAATGAAGATGAAGAAGCACAGGAGGAGGAAGGCGGGGCGGGGGGGAAGACGGTACTAGCAGTGGAAGTCGAAGACGACAACAACAAAGGAAAAAAAAGAAGAAGAAGAGGAAGAAGAAGAAGACGAAAAAGAAGAGGAGGAAGAGGAGGAGGAGGAGGACGGGGGGGGAAGACGGTACTAGCAGTAGAAGACGAAGAAGACGACAACAAGGAAGAAGAAGAAGGAGGAGGAGGAGGAGCAGATTCGTTGATGGATGAGCAAGGACATGCACCTGTGGAGAAATAGCCCTGTGCACAATATGTGCATCATTGTGCAGAAAACTCAGACTCTCAGCCAACTGCAAGAAACCATGCTTCATCTCCAAATTGGACATGTCCTGTCATAACCAGTGCATACAGTGGAAGGGATGACAGACACACCCGTACAGACACCATCCAAGTCAGAAAATCATGCAGCGGCAAATGTGAGTCCTCCTCTTCCTGTAGTCCAGCCAGCATCAGGGTTGTTCTTTTTCGTGAACTATGCACATGGTGCCCACAGCCACGCAGGCTGAAATTATTGAGCACGGGTCTGTTGTTGTTGTTGTTGTTGTTGTTGGGAGGGGAGGGGGGAGAGGGGGGGTAATCAGTGGTGGCAGCCGTGCAGGCTGAAATTATTTGAGCATGGGTTGTTGTTGTCGTTGTTGTTGGGAGGGAGGGA